AGGGATTTCCGATAATTTTTGAAAAAACAGGAAACGCCTCAAAAAAATTCATTTTGGGGAGGTTTCCGTTTTTTGGGCCCGATTCCGTGTTGAGGCGTTTCCATAGCACCGATGGACCAAACCTCTGTAGAGTAAAAAAAGGAAAAAATGTAAGCCCCCCCCCACCCTAAAAAATTCCTGTTTACGCCACTGGTAAAGAAGAAAGGAAGGGAGGGGAAGGTATGTGGATAGGTCGGGAAGGACATTGATAAGGAAGCTAGAAGAAAGTAAGAAAGGAAAAAGGTTGGGATGGAAAAGGGGAGGTTGAGAGGTAAAGAGGAATATAGGGATTAGAGAACATAGGGATGGGATAGGGAAGGTAGGGAAGGGAGAGTTAGGTAGGTAAGAGGAAGATAGGGAAGGGAAAAGGTAGGTAGATAAGAGGAAGATAGGGAAGGGGAAGGGAAAAGGTAGGTATGTAGGTCGGAAGATAGGGAAGGGAAAAGGTAGGTAGATAAGAGGAAGATAGGGAAGGGGAAGGGAAAAGGTAGGTATGTAGGAAGGAATATAGGGAAGGGGAAGGTAGGGAAGGGAAAGTTAGGTAGGTAAGAGGAAGATGGGGAAGGGAAAAGGTAGGTAAGAGGAAGATAGGGAAGGGGAAGGGAAAAGGTAGAGAATCGATTAAAGGCTGGCAGATAAGAAGTGAAGGAAAGTGGAATAAAGGGATGGGCTGGAACTTTTTCCCTCTACAATCATAACTTTCTCTAAAATCAGACAGTTTTTCACAAATTATCAGTCATTTTCCGGAAAAGTTGCAATGCAACATAAGAGTATGTGTTCGAAATTTACGCGCTCCCCTTACAACTTCATAAAATATGATTTAATTATCAATAATTTTTCCAAATTGTTATATTCACATTAACATTTTTCTGCGCTACGCGCACAAGCCACAAATTTAAAATTCAGTGATGGTGATGGACCAAACCTCTGTAGAGTAAAAAAGTAGATGTTAGTTCCACATTTATTGAAAATATATTTCGGTCTGGGTTGACCCTCGTCAGTTCTAACGATATAATAACCATCAAAATCGATAAAAAAAATTTTAAAAAAATGTAAAAATCACAAGAATAAAAACAAACAAAAAGATTATTCAAAATAAAAATTTGGGCTGTCAAATGGACATAAGGGAAAAGAACTCAGATTATGAGATGGAAAAAAGATAATTTGCAAATATTCACTTTCTAAAAAAATGTTTTTAGACAATTATTATTCCTTGAGATTGTTTCTTCACAAAGATTAAAAACAAACTGTGTAGATGTGTGAATATTGAGTTGGNTTGAAAGATTCCTGTTTACGCCACTGGTAAGGAAGAAAGGAAGGGAAGGGAAGGTATGTGGATAGGTAGGGAAGGACATTGATAAGGAAGAAGAAAGTATAAGAAAGGGGAAAGGTGGGGATGGAAAAGGGAAGGTTGAGAGGTATAAAGAGGAATATAGTGATTAGAGAACATAGGGAAAGGATAGGGAAGGTAGGGAAGGGAAAGTTAAGTAGGTAAGAGGAAGATAGGGAAGGGGAAGGGAAAAGGTAGAGAATCGATTAAAGGCTGGCAGATAAAGAAGTGAAGGAAAATGGAATAAAGGGATGGGCTGGAACTTTTTCCCTCTACAATCATAACTTTCTCTAAAATCAGACAATTTTTCACAAATTTTCAGTCATTTTCCCGGAAAAGTTGCAATGCAACATAAAAATATGTGTTCGAAATTTACGCGCTCCCCTTACAACTTCATAAAAATATGTGTTCGAAATTTTACGAAATTTACAACTTCATAAAAATATGATTAAATTATCAATAATTTTTCCAAATTGTTATATTCATATTAACATTTTTGTGCGCTACGCGCACAAGCCACAAATTCATTCACAATTACAACTATTTTGTGAGAACTTTAAAAGTACAAGTAGGCCTCATGTAAATGATGGGAAATGAATTTCAAGAAAAAATGTACTCCTGGACTGGCAAATAATCATTCCTAACTTCATTGACATTGCCACTTTACCAACTTTTTTTAAATCATAATAAATTATTTACATCCTGACGTTGAAAGAACTGGCAAAAACTTTGAAAAGTTTGTACAATTTTGTATTTCAAGATTTTTCAATTTTCCACCACTTCTGCTTTACTAATAAGGTTACTACTTAAAATCACTCTTTAAAAACTTAATACCTGTAATTCCAAAATAATCTTAAATAATAGCGCTTTTATATTTATTTAGGTCTAGACAATATAAGAATAACATCTGAATGTAAATTAATGTGTAAAGTTGAGATCAATGATGGTTACAAAGACTACTTCTTGACTGCAGGCTTCTTAGTCGCAGGCTTCTTGGCGGCAGGCTTCTTGGCCGCAGGCTTCTTAACAGCAGACTTCTTGGCGGCGGGCTTCTTGGCTACCTTCTTTGGCTTCTCAGCCTTCTCACCAATCTTGTAGCAACCAGCTCCCTTGCCAGAAGCTTTGGCCATCTTAAGATTGCCAGCAGCAACTCCTCTCTTCAGAGCCATACGGAGATGTACACCAGCCTTGGTGGCATCAACCTTGTAATTAGCACAGATATACTTCAAGATCGCCTGACGAGATGATCCAGTTCTATCCTTCAGAGCCTTCACGGCAGCAGAGATCATGACAGAGTACTTTGGGTGGGCAGCAGGGGCCTTGGGCTTAGTGGCCTTCTTCACCTTAGGGGCCTTGACGGCGGGGGCGGCAACAGCTTCGGTAGACATATTAGTTTTTGTGATAGAATTCTGGACTAACTGATGAATATTGAACCTAGCTTAAAATATATATACACTGAAGAGAACCGAATAGAGCGCGGTGCCCGGTACGAGTTCTCACACAGTGTAACAAAGACGCTGGATTTTGTGTTTCTTTACATTTTTAAAACTTATTTTTACCCCATTCGAAAATAATTTAAATTATAGCTAACTTAATTAACGTTTAAATGAATAATTACATTTTTTAAATATTAAATAATATTTTGAGCTACCAACACAAAATATTTGGTAAAATATCCATTAAGTCTAAAATATTTAAAATAATTTTGAAAATCTGCACAAATTGTTAAAATAAGGACAGAAAACAGCAATATTTTTAAAATTCTTTTTTCTTATATTTTTCTATTCAGCAAATTTCAACATTTATTTTTCTGATAGAATTTTCGTTTTTTCTTTAAAAATAGAATAAAAACGGGATAATTGATACACTATAGAAACACAAATTTATAGAGACACTTACTAGAATTCATTTTATTTCCCCATTTTTCAAACTCCTCCCCTCCCCCCATACTTTTGGAACAAATTACAAAATAACTAAAATAAATTTATCTAGATCTCTTTAGAAACGATGTTCTTGCTAGTCATCATATTTTATGTATTCTAATTTATATGACAGAAGCTTAAATATGGCAATAACAAAAATGTTATATTTAAAATTCGGTGATGGTAATGGTCCAAACCTCTGTAGAGTAAAAAAAGTAGATGTTAGTTCCACATTTATTGACCCTCCGTGAGGTTAAGACAATTTCTGGGCTGCTGCAACTAGGACAGGCTAGGGGGTCAAGCGCTGCAGCCACATATCAAATATCAAGTAATAGACGATATGTGGGGTTAGGTAGGTTATGACAATTTCTGGGCCGAGCACTGCCATATATCATTTGATGACCATGTCCGACCTACAAATAAAGTTTTAAAACTTTTTTTCAAAAACTGAAATGCCTCAAAAAAAACGGAAACGCCTCAAAAAAAAAGAAAAAACGTATCAAAAAAATAAAGTTTTAAAAGTTTTTTCAAAAAAAGGAAACGCCTCAAAAAAAATAACCCCCTTTAAAAAAAAGAGGAAACGCCTCAACAAAATAAAGTTTTAAAAGTTTTTCAAAAAACGGAAACGCCTCAAAAAAAGAGGAAACGTCTCAACAAAATAAATTTTTAAAAGTTTTTTTTTAAACGGAAACGCCTCAAAAACGGAAACGCCTCAAAAAAAAGAGGAAACACCTCAACTAAATCAAGTTCTTAAAAATACGAAAACGCCTCAAAAATTTTGTGGGAACGCCTCAAAAATATTGGGAAATCCCTCAAAAATATTGGGAAATTCCTCAAAAATAATTGTCAGGTGAAAAGCGGAAACCCCTCAAAAATTTTAGGAAACGCCTCNTACGGAAACGCCTCAAAAATTTTGCGGAAATGCCTCAAAAATATTGGGAAATCCCTCAAAAATATTGGGAAATTCCTCAAAAATAATTGTCAGGTGAAAAGCGGAAACCCCTCAAAAATTTTAGGAAACGCCGCAAAATAAATGGGAAACCCCTCAAAAACTGGGTTTTGAGGGGTTTCCGCTTTTTTTGAGGCATTTCTGCGGTGAGATGTTTCCGTGTTGAGGCGTTTCCAGAGCACTTAACTATTGGTACTGTTCATTTTAAATGACTAATGACTTTATCAAGAATTTTAAGAAAATAATTTATTGAAGTAAATATGATAAAAGTAGTCTAAAAATAAATTTGTATTATTGCAAAAAAAAAAAAAAAAAAAACNTCCGGATCAATAAATTCTATGGTTTTCAATGGGTTTCAGCCTTTCAGGGGTGCTATGGAAACGCCAACGGAATGGTCTCCCCGATGAAATGCCTAAAAAACCACTAAAATCCACTTTTGAGGAATTTCCGCTTTATTTTGGGAAATCCCTCAAAACTAGAAAAGGGAATTTTCGAATATTTTTGATTAAATTGTTTCCCAATTTTTATAGTATCAGGCGTTTGCGTTTTCAAAAAATACTTTATAAACTTTTTTTTAGTTGAGGTGTTGTCTCTTTTTTTTTTTGAGGCGTTTCCGCATATTTTTGAGGCGTTTCTGTTTAAAAAAAAACTTTATTTAGTAGAGGTGTTTCCTCTTTTTTTTAGAGGCATTCCTTCATATTTTTGAGGCGTTTTCCTGTTTTGCAAAAAATGTCTAAAACTTTATTTACTTGTGGCGTTTCCTCTTTCTCTTGAGGGGTTTCCGCTTTTCATACAATGTTTGAAAACTTCATTTAGTTGAGGTGTTTCCTTTTACTAAAAAACCCTTTTAACGTTAATTTAGTAGATGTATTTCCTCTTCTTTTTGTTATACTAGCAGAGGCGCACAAGAGCTTTAGTGTAAGGGGGGACACCATGATTTTTTCTGTGCACACCCCTAGAAGATTTTGTGCCAGGCCGCCTAAAAACCCCTATTTTTACAAAATTGCTGATTGGTTTTATCTAAAATAAAAAGCCGTGTATCTTTCATACTTAGTCTTTGCTTGGTTTAGAACAAATATTTGCTGATTAGATATCAGAGGAGCAAAGGATAAGAGATTTTGTCAAAAAACTCCAAAATTATGATCCCTATCGTAGATCTTTAATATTTTTGAAATATGAATTCTATGAACTATGAAAAAGCCTAAGTTTGAAATAAGGTTTACACCATCAGGTTTCAAAGAAATAGAGATTATAAAATAAGAGTTTGTGGCAAAAACTTAGTTCCTTTCCCCTTTTCAAAAATGATTTTAATCTCCTCCCAGAAATTAAACACCATCAGGTTTCAAAGAAATAGGGATTAGAAACAATTTTAGGGTTTTCATTGCTAAATTTTTGGGTAAAACTAGAAATAATGAAGAAGGATGAAAACTTGCCTTTTCATGTCAAATTTATCTTTTCTTTTTTGATTACCAAAATTATTATTTACAGAAGTTATATGTTTGTTTACGCGGAGTGCAGCCGTAAAAATGTCTTATTATTTTACATTTTATTTTTCAGAGAGTGCTGCATCTTTACCACTTTTTTGCAGGAGACCACATTACTTTTATTTATTTTCGGTATAATCACTTATTTTATATCTATGTAATGAAGACCGACTTTTCTATTTAGTTTTGATTTCTAACAAGTTATTTAAAAGTTTCTGGCTGATTCTATGTTGGTAAAAATCAAAATTGAAATCGAACGTCGTCTTCATTGTATTAAAATCGTCTCTGAAGTCTCATCCTTTGTGGGCAACCCGGGGGTAGTGTTGACTTAAATATGTAAATAATATATTACATGCATTTTAAACTTATTTTTAAGTAAACAATTAACAATAAACAAATGTACTCTCCTAGACTACAAATACCGAGATTCATACGTACTGTATAAACCTACAGTACACACCTTTGGTACAGTAAACTTTACACACACTCTTTTGGTACAGACACACACGCACATGACGTTTCCGCCCCCTGGTATAGGATTAGCGTACATCTATGCGCACTATAACCTCGTTGGAGTAACCCTGTATCATACTAATTTATGAAGAATAAAATTCATATTTTTTATTATGAAAATTTGTTTTACTGTGATAATAAATAAGAAATTGGAAATTTACTGCTTTTGTTAAATTTTCAGGGGATGGTAAGAAATTACTTTCTCGAGAAAATGAATGATACGGAAAATGCAAAAACGAAGCGAGATTTCGCGAAAACCATAGGTGTTGAAATTGAGCAAAAAAACTTGTGGAATTCTCTGCTCTGAGAGCTCAACATTGGAAGTTTTATTTTATCATATTAATAATTTCTCTTCCTTATACTTTAATAGATGTTTGATGAATAGAATTTGATTTCTTGACCTTCCTGAGTTTCTATACCTTCACCCAAATCCAGCTAGCCATGAGCCAGCCAATCAGATAGTTATTTTACAGGATGAATTTAAAATATTCCGAATTATATTTGTTCCTCCCGTAAAGGATTTTATAAAGTGTTTCAAGAAAGAGATTCTATGACGGTTGAGAAGTATTAATGACTTACAAACAAATCTATGAATTCTCCTAGTTGTTCTTAAATATACATAAGGTAGCTTTATATTTCGAGCGGGAGAAATCCCACGAAATTTTTTTTCACGAAATATGCGTCTTGTATTCTGAAAATGATCAGAGGCGCAACTAGGGTAAGTTCCACAAGATTCAACAGAATGAGATAGAACAGATACGGGGCATATTACTGTTATACATCTACACGTGTGATATCGATATTGACTCTAGTTCTGAACCCTCTAGTATTGTATAAATATATATATACTGGAAGTTATTTATGCGTTTTTATTAGAGTCTGACTCACGTCCTCTATAATATTGCCCCCCCTAGCAAAAGTCCTAGTTGCGCCTCTGAAAATTATGTCTTTTTTGATGAATTTTCGAGAAAAAAAATGCATTTTAAAAAATTCCCCATTTTCGCATTATATTTTTCGAGAAATTTTCTCATTTCTTATCTCGCCGCAAAAAAGGACACACAACTAAATAGAGTTCTTATAAAATACGGAAAACCCTCAAAAAATTTTGCGGAAACGCCTCAAAATAAAGTGGAAACACCTCAACTAAATTAAGTTTTTAGAAATACGGACACGCCTCAAAAATATTGGGAAATTCCTCAGAAATATTTGTCAATTGTAAAGCGGACAACCCCTAAAATATTTTAGGAAACGCCTCAAAAAAAAGAGGAAACCCCTAAAAACTGGGTTTAGAGGGATTTCCGTATTTCTCACAGAAATTGCAAAAACAACTCATAAAGATGTTCGAGGCATTTCCGTGGTATGAAGTTTCCCTCGTGAGGCGTTTGCATAGCAGTGTTCCANTGTTTACACCCCTAGTAACGAAGGCAGGGAAGGATATTGATAAGAAAGGGGAAGGTTAGGAGGGAAAAGGGAATGCTGATAGGTAAAGAGTAATGAAGGGAAGGTAGGGAAATCATTTTCCCGGAAAAAATGCAATGCAACATAACAAACGTGTTCAAAATTTACGGGCTCCCCGCACAACTTTTTAAAAATATGATTATATTAAAAACATTTTGTAAACAAACCACATGTAAAGTTTAGTAGTTTAGTTGAAAATCAAGATTTTTAATATGCTCCACACTTCTACTTTACTTAACTTACTATCACTATTTCAACTAAATTGACCTTCATTTCATTTTCTTATTTTTCCAAGAGAAAACTGAAATATTAGTGCTTTTACATTTTATTTTGGTCTTGACAATATATATACAATACATTTTTAACTATGAGGGTTGTTTCTGATAAAACATCTGAATGTAAATTACTGTGTCACGTTGAGATCAATGATGGTTTTAAAGACGTTTTACTTCTTAAGCTGCGGGCTTCTTAGCGGCAGGCTTCTTGGCAGCAGGTTTCTTGGCTGCGGGCTTCTTGGCGGCAGGCTTCTTGGCGGCAGGCTTCTTGGCGACAGGCTTCTTTGCAGCAGGCTTCTTTGCAGCGGGCTTCTTGGCGGCGGCCTTCTTGGCGGCGGGCTTCTTGACAGCCTTCTTGGCAGCAGGCTTCTTGGCAGCAGACTTCTTGGCGGCGGGCTTCTTGGCTACCTTCTTTGGCTTCTCAGCCTTCTCTCCGATCTTGTAGCAACCAGCTCCCTTGCCAGAAGCTTTGGCCATCTTAAGATTGCCAGCAGCAACTCCTCTCTTCAGAGCCATACGGAGATGTACACCAGCCTTGGTGGCATCAACCTTGTAGTTAGCACAGATATACTTCAAGATCGCCTGACGAGATGATCCAGTTCTATCCTTCAGAGCCTTCACGGCAGCAGAGATCATGACAGAGAACTTTGGGTGAGCGGCAGGGACCTTTGGCTTAGTGGCCTTCTTCACCTTGGGGGCCTTGACGGCGGGGGCGGCAACAGCTTCGGCAGACATGTTAGTGTTCGTGATAGAATTCAGGAATAACTGATAAATAATGAACCTAGCTTAAAATATATATACACTGAAGAGAACCGAATAGAGCGCGGTGCCCGGTACGAGTTCTCACACAGTGTAACAGAGACGATGGATTTTGTGTTTCTTTACATTTTTAAAACTTTGTGAAAATCCGCGAATTATTTTTGTTTTGTTTTACGATGTACACAAAGGGAACATGTTCACAATTAATTTAGAAGATGGGCGCGAAGCGCCCTCTAAGGCTAGTCTTATAAATTTGTCTTGTCTGTCTGTTTGGGTGTCTGTCTGTTTGTTCGTTTGTATCCAATAAACGTCAAAACGGCTGAACCGATCGGGCCCAATTTGGGACATTACGTGACCACAGGAAAGGTTTATGAATGATAAAAATTTTAAAAAATGTGTTTTAAAGGTTTTTAATTTTGTAAAGAAAATTTAAATTCTTGAAAATCCACGAATTTTATTTTTAAAATCCCCAAAGATTTTTTCTTCTTTGCTTTAAAATGTAAACAAAAAGAACATGTCACAATTTAAATAGAAGATGGGCGCGAAGCGCCCTAAAAGCCTAGTATATATAGACTTTGCTTGTCTGGGTGTCTGATTGTTTGTTTGTTTGTTTTTGTTTGTTTGTGTCCAATAAACGTTAAAACGGCTGAACCGATGGGGCCCAAATTTTGTGTGGGACCTCACATGACCCCAGGGAAGGTTTATGGATGCTCAAAATTACAAAAATTTGTGTCAAAAGTTTTTGATTTTTGTAAAAGTTTGAAAATGCGCGAACAAATATGAGTAAATCCACGAAATTTCTTTATTGTTAATTTTTATACTTTTACTTTTCAAAGAGAATATGCTTCCAGATAGAGCCGCAATTAAATTTTTAAAAGTTGAAACATAAGATGAGTTTTAAGAGCGCTAAAAGCCTAGTTTAAAGAAAATGTGTACATAAAAAATGGCAATGATATGGAAACTAGCAAAAAATTACAGCGCGCATGGATAACTGTTGGATTAGCTTTTTAAATTACTTTTAACTGTGACAAGGACTATTAGAAAGAATAAATAGAAATAAATTTTTTACTTATTATCAAAAAACTGTGTGCTTTAAGTAGAAATTTCAAAAATTAACCTAAANTCCCTCCCCTATTCTAAAGTATGTATTTACTTGCATGTAACTTTTAAAAATGACGGCTAACTTCAAGCCAAGTCGAGAATCTCAAAACAATTATTATTTAAGCAGAGATGGAATTTAAAGAATTTGAGCCCCCGTTTAAAACTTTAGAACTCTTTAATCTGCACAAAAATTTACTCAACATAAACTTTTAACATTGTTGAACAAATTTTGTAAGCCATAAAATCTATTGGCTTCCATAATTTTAGTTGTAAATCAAGATTTTTTAAACAAAATTAATGGTTAGTTTTTTATATAAAACCGTATATCTTTCATACTTAGTCTTCTCTTGGTTTAGAACATATATTTGTTGATTATATATCAGAGGAGCAAAGGAAATGATATTTTTTTTAAAAACTCCAAAATTATAATCCCTATCGTAGATCTTTAATATTTTTGAACTAAGAATTCTATGAACCATGAAAAAGCCTAAGTTTTAAAGAAATAGGATTAGAAAATTTGAGGTTTGTGGCTGACGCTTAGTTCCTTAATCTTGAAAAATCTTTCCCCTTATATTTATATTATATATGTTTGCGCGGAGCAGTAAAAAACGTGTAGGGTTTTATTTACTGAATATTTGGGTAGGAATTGTAATAAAAAGAATAAAAAATGTCTTTTGATATCAAGTATTTTTGTCTCCTCAGTTCATCTAAAATCATATTTTTCTACAGAAGTTAGGTTTGTTTGCGCAGAATATGAAAACAATGTTAAGGGTTTTAATTTCTGAAATTTTGAGTAAAAAGAATTAAAAAGGATGAAAACTTGCCTTTCGATGTCCAATTTTCCTTTTCCTTTTTGAATACAAAAACTATTTTTTTCGCAGTCGAAGTTATTTTTGTTTGGGCAGAGCGCCATAACAGTTTTCAAAGTTTTAGTTGCTGAATAAATTTTTGTTTAAAAAATATAAAAAAAAGATGAATTAAGCTAATCGCCTTTTAACAAATCAGTTTTCATTTTTCACCACTGACATCATTTAAAATCATTTCATCCCCCCAGGAGGGGCACCCGTAGGGGGGGGGGGGGGAAAGTGCCCCCAGTGCCCCCCCCCCCAATCGTACACCCGAATTCTAAGTTTAAAATACCAAAGTTTTATCACTTTGGGTTGCAAAGATATGTTTTTAAAAAATCTGGGTTTGCTGCAAAGATTCATCTTCTTTTGAATTCAGATTTGCACTTACAATTTTTCGCTGATTGTTTATTATAAATTTTTAGTTTTATTTGTGTTTTGATATTTTTAGAAGTACCTGAAAAAAATAGTGTTTTGTAAAGCAACGCTAATCTAATCCCGTTTTTTTTCTTACCAATTGTCATACGTGAAACTGTACATTCAATAAATACATTTATATCGTAAACTTTTCCCATTGAACTTGAAAAGTTTTTAAGAAGATGAAAAAATGTCTTGAATTTCTAGAATGCTAAAAATCTTTAGAGGTTCCGTGATTCTTAAATGGTGACTGGTTATAGTTTGTCAGTGGTAAACATATACACGGTGTCATGCCTGCAGAGAACTCGTACCTGCAGCGGACTCTGGTTATGTTACGCGGCAAAGCGCAAGTTTCTGGAAATGTAAACAAACAAGAATAATTTAATTTATTGGAGTTTACGGCTAATTTTCTGTAATTNATGATCATGTTCTCAATGTAAAATAAATCAGCATGGTCATGTTCTCAATGCACAATAAACTAGATGATCATGTTCTCCATGTACAATAAATTAGATGATCATGTTCTCAATGTAAAATAAATCAGATGATCATGTTCTCAATGTAAAATAAATCAGATGATCATGTTCTCAATTAGATGACAACTCTTGTATAGAGTTAAAGAGTAAAGAGAAGGGATTGTAGAAGATTGGAAAAGTTAAGACAAGGGATAGTAGAAGAGTGGAAGAGTTAAGGTCCCCTTCTTTGCACATCTGCCCGGGATAAATTTGAATTTAAAGAACCCCGGCACTCTCTACACTATACCTGGCTTGGGTTCTTAGAGTATAAATATAAGGACGTTGCCAGCAGTTGTCAGTTAGTTTCTGATCTTCAAACAGCTAGCATGCCACCCAAAACCTCTGGAAAGGCCGCCAAGAAATCTGGCAAGGCCCAGAAGGCCATCACCAAGGGAGATAAGAAGAAGAGGAAAGGAAAGAGGAAGGAGTCCTATGCCATCTACATCTACAAGGTCCTCAAGCAGGTCCACCCTGACACCGGTATCTCCTCCAAGGCCATGAGCATCATGAACTCCTTTGTCAACGATATCTTCTCCAGGATCGCTGCCGAAGCTTCCCGATTGGCCCACTACAACAAGAGATCCACCATCACCTCCCGGGAGATCCAGACCTCTGTCAGGCTCCTCCTTCCCGGAGAATTGGCCAAGCACGCCGTCTCTGAGGGAACCAAGGCCGTCACCAAGTACACTAGCTCAAAGTAAGCTGCAGTACACTTATCTACTATTGTACCTGATTAAAACAACCGGCCCTTTTCAGGGCCACCTAAAAATACCAACTAAGAGAACTAAAATTACAAGAAAATGAAGAAATGTCTAAAAGATATATAAGGCATAGGCTAAAATATGCAAAACGTCTCTGTTCAGTAAGACAGCAAACACAACGCAAAATAAAAAGTATAGAAATTTTTTTTAACTTTTACCAAATGTTAAAAAATGAAGGCTGCTTGCATTCAAAGTGCAATTATTGTCAAACTAAAGTTTCTCTCGATCTTTATTAACTATGCAAAATGCTATAACAGTATAGCATAACGCCTGAATGCCTCGAACATTATAAACTGTAATACTAGCTATGAAAGTATAGCCATATATTGTAAAATAAAATGCTTTTTTCGTCATAACAAAGTTACAGTATATGTAAAATTTTGTAAAAACTAACTATGTTTACGAAAATAAAAAATTTTGTCTTAAAAAAAACAATTAGCTTTTAAATAGATGCTGAAATAAATCAGATGATCATTTTCTCGATGTAAAATAAATCAGATGATCATGTTCTCAATGCACAATAAATTAGATGGATCATGTTCTCCGTGTACAATAAATCAGATGATCATGTTCTCAATGTAAAATAAATCAGATGATCACGTTCTCAATGTAAAATAAATCAGATGATCATGTTCTCAATGTAAAACGAATCAGATGATCATGTTCTCAATGTAAAATAAATCAGCATGGTCATGTTCTCAATGCACAATAAACTAGATGATCATGTTCTCCATGTACAATAAATTAGATGATCATGTTCTCAATGTAAAATAAATCAGATGATCATGTTCTCAATGTAAAATAAATCAGATGATCATGTTCTCAATTAGATGACAACTCTTGTATAGAGTTAAAGAGTAAAGAGAAGGGATTGTAGAAGATTGGAAAAGTTAAGACAAGGGATAGTAGAAGAGTGGAAGACTAGATAAGGGAAAGTAGAAGATTGGAAGATTTAAGACAATGCATTGTTGAAGAATGGAAAGTTAAGACAAGAGATAGTAGAAGATTGGAAAATTTAAGACAATGGATAGTGGAAAAATGGAAAAGAAGAGTGGGTAATTAAAGATAAGGGATAGTAAAAGAGGGGAAGATTAAAGACAAGGGATAGAAGAAGACTGGAAAAGTAAAGACAAGGGACAGTGGGAGAGTAAAGACAAGGGTCAAGGGATAGCAGGAAAAGTGGAAGCGGAAAGAAAACGGATAGTAGAAGAGTGGAATAGTACAAGGGATAGTAGAAAAGTGAAAGAGTAAAGACAAGGGATAGTAGAAGAGTGGAAGAGTTAAGACAAGGGATAGTAGAAGAGTGGAAGAGTTAAGAAAAGGGATAGTAGAAAATTTGAAGAGTGAAGACAAGGGATAGTAGAAGAGTGGAAGAGTAAAGCCAAGAGCAAGTGTAAGATTTGAAGAGTAAAGACAAGGGAAAGTGGAAGCGGAAAGAAAACGGATAGTAGAAGAGTTGAAGAGTGAAGGCAAGGGATAGTAGAAAAGTGGAAGAGTAAAGACAAGGAATAGTAGAAGAGTTGAAGAGTAAAGACAAGAGCAAGTGTAAGATTGGAAGAGTAAAGACAAGGGAAAGTAGAAAAGTGGAAGCGGAAAGAAAATGGACAGTAGAAGAGTTGAAGAGTGAAGGCAAGGAATAGTAGAAGAGTGGAAAAGTAAAAACAAGGGATAGCAGAAGAGTAGTGAAAGAATATAAGAGGAATAAGAGGAAAAATGGAGGGAAACCAAGGTTTAAAAGGAAGACGACAATTGTTCCGTTCTTTGTTTCCCTCTTGAATATAAATCATATTATTAGTTTTGTACTTCATACTTTTTGGGGACTTTAGTGCAGATGTAAACTTGCCAATTGTATAGCAAGCTCAAAACAACCAATTGAAAAATGATTGGTATAGAAGAAATGTCGAAGTTTTCGAGGAAAATAAATTTTCTAAGAAGCACTATTTCAGTACGAATGAAAAGTTCTCATAACTTTTGAAATTCCACTGTTCGGAATTTAAACTTTTAAAGAAACTGTAGGTCAAGGCAATCTTAGATAAAGAGTTGCATGTCTGATTAAAGAGTTGCATGTCTGATTAAAGAGTTGCATGTCTAATTAAAGAGTTGCATGTCTAATTAAAGAGTTGCATGTCTAATTAAAGAGTTGCATGTCTAATTAAAGATTTGCATGTCTAATTAAAGAGTTGCATGTCTGGTGAAAGAGTTGCATGTCTAATTAAAGAGTTGCATGTCTAAATAAAGAGTTGCATGTCTAAATAAAGAGTTGCATGTCTAATTAAAGAGTTGCATGTCTGATTAAAGAGTTTCATGTCTAATTAAAGAGTTGCATGTCTGATTAAAGAGTTTCATGTCTGATTAAAGAGTTGCATGTCTGGTGAAAGAGTTGCATGTCTAATTAAAGAGTTGCATGTCTGATTAAAGAGTTGCATTTCTGGTGAAAGAGTTGCATGTCTAATTAAAGAGTTGCATGTCTAATTAAAAAGTTGCATGTCTAATTAAAGAGTTGCATGCATAATTAAAGAGTTGCATGTCTAATTAAAAAGTTGCATGTCTAATTAAAGAGTTGCATGTCTAATAAAAGAGTTGCATGTCTAGTTAAAAAGTTGCATGTCTAATTAAAGAGTTGCATGTCTAATTAAAGAGTTGAATGTCTAATTAAAGAGTTGCATGTCTAAAGAGTTGCATGTCTAATTAAAGAGTTGCATGTCTAATTAAAGAGTTGCATGTCTAATTAAAGAGTTGCATGTCTAATTAAAGAGTTGCATGTCTGTCAAAGTAAAAAATATTGAATTGTCCTTGTTTTCGTTTTGAAAATGGATAATTTTCAAGTAGGAATTGACTATAAAATTAATTTAGGTTGCAAAAAATGAGTAAAAACAGAAAACGAGAATATTTTTTGAATCGGGCATTGAACGCTAGAAATTACACGTCGAATGTCCCTTCAAGATCCTTCAGTTGCAAAAAATAGAAAATTTCGATTTAAATAAAGTTTTTATGATTTTCCAATTACCTTTCCTTTTCCCGCGCTCAACATTATCCCTCACTTTATATAAACCTCCGTTTCTCCCCCCGGTCCCTCCGTATCCGCATTGGATTCCCACGTGACTAATCTCATGTTTTATTCAAAATCAGAATATAAATATTTTAATAATTTATTTACCTGGCAAAATATTGGAATTATACCTGATCACGTATCTGAAAGGACTTTATTGCATAGAGAACAAAGGACTAATCGTTCTTGATCGATCTTTTAATTCCTTTCTGCAACCCGAGGTCGTAGACCTTTGATATTAAAAAAAATGAAGATCATAAAGTCAAACTTTGAAATATAAAGGGTTTACATCATCAGGTTGTAAAAATATAGGTATTAGAACCTTTGAATTTGTGGCAAAAACTTATAACTATGATGAAACTGGGAGCTGGGAGTCTAGACAGTGGATGGGGGAGATGAGGGTCGAAGAGGCAAAGCTTTAAAACTTCTTTTCCGCATATGCACTCGTGTCTAAAGTGATTCATATCCAGACAGGGGGNTATTCATGTTTTGTCTGAAAATTGATATAAAATTAGATATTCATGTTTTGTCTGAAAATTGATATAAAATTAGATATTCATGTTTTGTCTGAAAATTGATATAAAATTAGATATTCATGTTTTGTCTGAAAATTGATATAAAATTAGATATTCATGTTTTGTCTGAAAATTGATATAAAATTAGATATTCATGTTTTGTCTGAAAATTGATATAAAATTAGATATTCATGTTTTGTCTGAAAATTGATATAAAATTAGATATTCATGTTTTGTCTGAAAATTGATATAAAATTAGATATTCATGTTTTGTCTGAAAATTGATATAAAATTAGATATTCATGTTTTGTCTGAAAATTGATATAAAATTAGATATTCATGTTTTGTCTGAAAATTGATATAAAATTAGATATTCATGTTTTGTCTGAAAATTGATATAAAATTAGATATTCATGTTTTGTCTGAAAATTGATATAAAATTAGATATTCATGTTTTGTCTGAAAATTGATATAAAATTAGATATTCATGTTTTGTCTGAAAATTGATATAAAATTAGATATTCATGTTTTGTCTGAAAATTGATATAAAATTAGATATTCATGTTTTGTCTGAAAATTGATATAAAATTAGATATTCATGTTTTGTCTGAAAATTGATATAAAATTAGATATTCATGTTTTGTCTGAAAATTGATATAAAATTAGATATTCATGTTTTGTCTGAAAATTGATATAAAATTAGATATTCATGTTTTGTCTGAAAATTGATATAAAATTAGATATTCATGTTTTGTCTGAAAATTGATATAAAATTAGATATTCATGTTTTGTCTGAAAATTGATATAAAATTAGATATTCATGTTTTGTCTGAAAATTGATAATTTTTTATTTTGGGTTTTCTATAAAAGTCTCCTTTATAGAAAACCAAAGTAAAGAGGATAAATTAGTTTTTAGAATTCTCACATTTTTAGTTAAAAAAACAAAGAAAGGTTTTTAAGGGTAAACTGTACATTGTCCCTTGTGATTAACTTGAAATTAAAGACTTCAAGAAATGAATTTCTACATCTATACAATATACATAGCTTTAAAATTTACGAATAGCTTTAATTAAGCACAAAGCAGAGCTCATAGTTTTAAGATTAACAAAAATCTTGATGCTTAAATGTAAACTACGTTTTATATATCGATATATTTTGCTTAGCTCTATAGAATCTCGACATATTTGAGTCTCTCTGACGTGTCTAAAAATACCCGAATTTACCCCCAGATCCCCTTGGCCTTGTGAAATGCAGAAAAGTACAAAGTCTGCAAAATATTTTTACGACAGGAACAAAAAATTTAGTTTTTAATGTACTCACTTTATGGATAAGCTATAAAATGAGTTTCAGTATATATCCCGGGATATAAATTCTAGTTTATACAGTAAGCACAGTATACAATACAATCATAGAACTCAGCTCAAGTATATCTATACATACACATTTTACAATACATTGGTTATTTATTGGGCATTGTAGGGTTGTATGTTCAATTTCAATATGCTGCAGGGGAGGGGGGGNGGGGGGTTAACTTTTAATGTATTTTAACTTTCCTTCTTTAAAAAGAACCAATTATTCCACACTTGTTTATAAAGTAAATTGTAGAGTACCTTTTGAACTAAGCTTACATGCAGTGCAATAGCCATAAGCTATAGTTCAAACAAAAAAATGTTTCAATTTTTATTGGAATACAAAATCATAACTCTAAACTGATGTGTTTAAAATGCATAAAAACCCTTTGGTGGTCTAAAAATGATCAAGAACGTTAAAACTGGGATTTAAAAAAATTATCAAACCTTTTAAAAAGAAACATTTATCGAAAAAATATAAATGAAATAAAAGAAATATATCATTCACAGTTTTCAAATTTGATATAATAATGTGAGGATGCAAAATAAAAGCTTTAGTCCTAAGTTTATTATCCTTGGTGGATTTAGGATGAAA